TATTAYTCCCAAGTATTCTCCATGCATCTGCATGATAAATAGCAGTCCTGTGTCCTACACAGCCAGACTATAAGCTTGGATGTCCTATTCTCCATTCTGAAACAATGGAAAACTCACCTTTGTGTACCAGACAAGCAGGAAGACCCTTCAAGAATCGAGAGAGCTTCTGAAGAGAACATTCTAATGTTTCACACAGAAATAAATGTTCCTTTAAAAAGCCTTTTTCCTTTTTTGCTTGCTGTGTTTGCAGATTACTTTCATCACCTTTTATATTACTTTTTAATGTTTGTATTCAGATTTAAATGATCAGTCAAAAATTCAGCTTTGGTTGAAAAATGCCACAAAAGGTTTCCTTCTGTTGCATATTCACTGCCATTTGCCCTTGACTGAATGAGTCTTTAATTTTTATTCCTACCACGCAAAACGAAACACATAATGCAAATGATCCTAACTATGATRTTTTGTGCATCATCAATAAATTAGCTAACTAGCTAAAGTTCCACTTGTTTTTCCACAGAAAATTACTTTGTCATTAAATCTTTATAGCCTTAATAGAAATAAGGGATTACATAAAATTTACTGACAGGATAATTGAAGGAATAACCTTGTAATTTCACTAGTGAGCAGGTTTTCCTGAAAAATCAATATTTATTATGAAAGAGGATTAATACTCCTTCGTGGCTTTTGAAACACAGACATAAAATAAATTAAAATGCCTCAGCCTATTTATGACCTCAAGAAGTTTTCACTAGTTCAATCTGAAAATAGACTAAAACTCAATACTATTCCTACAGACAATTTTGTGACTAAAAGGTCCCTGAATGTACTAATATATGGCCTGAATCACTTGATTATACACACAGTGTAACATTCAAAATAGTCATTAAGATCTACRGTCCTGTCTTTAATGCCACTGAAATGATGAAAGTAGTAAAATTTATTTAAATTCTATTTTTTTCACTATTGATACTGACTGCTCTGAACTCGAAGTGTTATAAAGTATTTATTAGAAGACTATTACACAGAATTAACCCTGAACTGAGTGGAGGAAAACTCGCTAGATTGGACCATTTAGGGAAGAGCCTTAAATGGGTGCCCAGTTTTTATGTAGTGATGAAGGGAACAACCGATGAACTTGATGTCTGGAATGGTATAGCAATCTTTCCCACATGGAAAGAAACATGGTATAACTGCTTTTTCTTCACTCTTGTGGGTAATAGGCAAATACCAAATGGACAAAGAAGTCAGTGCTCTCCTAAAGGCTGTGCCTACAGTTCATTTGCTCACTTGTCTACTGACAATGTTTCATTCAACTACAAAACAACATCTGTGGAACATCRTGAAAACATTTTCCAGCTACAATTTTTTGCAAGCCTTAATACGTGAGTTAAATATGTCATGACAGTACTTAAATTTTCTTCTACATTTGGGGGCTTTCTCCAAATTTTTCTCCTCACAATTAATTATAGCTTCAAGGAAAGGAAGGAAGGACTAAAGGAAGGACATACTAAAGGAAACACTGCCAGAGAACTTTCCTGGACATGGGAATCTGCTGATTCACAGTATTAAGTTGTGCAATAGCTGCCAATATATTTTTGGAATATGCCTCATAATAACACTGTCCTTCCCCTCCCATGGATACAGTAGCAAAGTTAGCAYGGGCAATACACGACCCCTGAGCCACAGTGTCTCTGTGCTCAGTTTTGGAGAGCACAGCATGCACAGGGGTTGTTCCTGCCAAGCTGGCTTCTGTGCCAGTTCCCGGTAGGGAGAAAGCCTTTGGAGACACTGATCACAATGCCCTGTGCACTACAGATGCATCTTGTGCTTTTCCTGCTTAAGAATGTGCAAAATGTGCTTATGTAATCTTTTTAACCTTTTAACATTGCTCAGTAAATCTGCTTTTCCATTTATTTGAAGTTTAAAATTTTAAGTTCTTTCTGTATTCTTTAGCCCATCAACAGTGGATGTAAACATTTCCATTTTCCTTCACTTTGTTAAATAAGCACAATAAATAGTCATATATATCCATATTTCATTCTGACACATCAGAATGAAAACCACTAAGGGTTTGTTATTACTTATATTTTATACTGATTGTTTTCCTAAAAGAAGTAAGTTTCAAATTAAACATAAAATTGTAGAAATACAAATTCACTGTCTACTAACTACAAATAGCAGCAGAATTAAGGTCAGACATTCTTAGACATGAAAGTTTAATCCTTTAAGGTACTACTATCACTGTTAGCCTGTAAAAATAGGATCCTTTTATCAAACTGTAGAACAAACTTTGCCCTCTTTGAGCTAATGATCACACATGACGTTTATGCAGTTAAGGCTACATTAATGCCCAAGTGGAGATGTTTAAATGGATCCTAGTGATTTAATAAACTTTTCACTATACTAGAAAATTGCCTAGATTGTTTTGGAAACCTTGACATGAGGCTACTTAAATGGGTTGCTTTAACAGATACATATAAAGAACTACATAATAATGCTTAACAAAGGTTCTCTTTTACAAGGTTACATACTGGATTTTCTTCAGTAAGCTAATAGCCATATTATATGAGTACCCAATATTCATTACTAAATTTATCTTCACAATTACTTTTATGAGACAAGCTTCTCATAATTCATACAAAAGAAATTGGAACAGAAATAAAAARTGTTTTGCACAAAGTCTGACAGTTGCATCAGAACCCAAAGCACTTGATTCTAAAATCCTCTTCACATATACAAGTCTTAGTCACAAACCAGTCTGTCTCTCTGAAGCAATACACACCCCATTTACAGTCATTATCATCCCCACTGCATCAAAAAGATACAGAACCAACAAATATTTTGTTTAAAAGTGAGGGGAGATAGCTGTGTATTAGATTTCTTCCTCACATGTGAAGAATTTGAGCATCTTTGATGATRCAATTGATAAAATTATTTCAAACTGTTCTAAACATCTTCCAGGCCATCTTAAATGACTAATGACTAAAACAGACTTCAGCAAAATGTCTCCTCTCCCTTCTACACAGCCTGTCATAAACTCAGTTGCCCACTCATTCAGAACGTGGTTAAATGAGCTCTTCAGCTACAAACCCTCAAGATGCAGTGAGCTCATTGTATTACTCACACTCATTGCCAGGAACAGAGAATTCCTGCCTCTCATTGAATGTTTCTGGGTGCTTACTTTCTGCTGGCTCTGGGATTTCTTTGATCCTTCCATGAGCTGATTTAACTTTCTAAAACCTAGGAGAATTCCAGCAGACTAATGAACCAATTTCTCTTGTTAAATCAATGCATGACAAATCCTGAGAAGTACCAGAACTTGTAATCAGAAGGCAGCAGGGTTGCCCAGTCCAAGCTGAGGGAGCTTCCTCCTTTTAGCAATAAGGAAATCAGCTTTTCTATAGCTTGATTCTGTTAATCTTTAATTTCTATTTTAAGGTATCAGTTGCTTCAATTTACAGTCTCCCTTATGTTATCTCAAGAAGCCTCATAAAAAAGGCAACTACGGTGTTTTTTTAAAGGGAGATACCAGACCTTATGCAGAAGACTGGCTCCTAAAAAACTGTAAATAAGCAAATAAAACTGAACTACAGCTAACATTTATTTTCTGCAGAAAGTCAACAYTGCATTTTAGTAATGACTGCAACAGGATCAACTAAGTTTTGCCTAGCGGCATTTATGGTAGCCCAATGCCACTTTACARCTTTAATTGACTGTGCTGGTTTGGACTGTGGTAGTTATAATCTTCACAGTGGCTGTTGTGGGTCCAAGTTTAGGACCTTTGCTGGAAATAGTGTTGATAACCCAGAGACATTTTCATTGCTACTGCACAGTGCTCCCACAGAGCCAGGCAAGGGGCCTGGGGGTGCACAAGGAGCAGGGAGGTGACACAGCCAGGGCAGCTGACCCCAACTGACCAAAGGGATGTTCCAGACCATTTGGCATCATCCTCTGCATATAGAGTGGTGGGAAGAGTGGAATGTTCAGAGTAATGACATTTGTCTTCCTAAATAACCATTAGGTGTGGTGAAGCCCTGCAGTCCTGGGGACCACTGAACACCTGCCTGTCCATGGGATGTTGTGAATTCCTTGTCTTGCTTTGTGTGTGCAGATTTTGCTTTCCATATTAAATTGTATCTCAACTCCTGAGTGTTCTTTTATCTTTCCGACTATCTTCCCCATCWCACCAGGGGAAAATGAGTGAGCCATTGCATGAGGTTGGACAATCAGCTGAGGTCAAACTACAAAAAAGACCAAGTGACTCTAAGTGACCAATGCACTCTGGCTAGAACCTCTTTGCTCATTTGACACACAGATTACAACCCTAAAATTCTAAAAAAATTTAACTTGCAGTAGTTCAGCAGCAGACTAACAAACATCTACAAACTGCTTTATCACAAAGGTGCCTGAAAAAGAGGTGAATAACATACAAGATGGAGAGAATAACCTTAGGTAACAAGATTTTTGGGTTTGGATTTTTCTGGTAACAGGTTTCTGAGAGCAGGACAGAATTTTCTGTTGAGGAAAGCAGGRGAATGTTACACTGCATCTGATCCTGAAACACAAAGAAACTGCCTCCACATAGAAAGTTCTAAGAAAAATAAAAGTGTTGAATATTCCACCTTCCAAAGTGCTCCTACTCCAAATATTGCTCCTTCCAAAGTTTTACCAGGGTCCTTACAATTCCTGTGAACTTTTTCACTCTGAACTCGTAACTAAGACATTCATCTTTTCATGGCTGAATTCTTCATTCTCCCTTGACGACAAATTTAAGAATGTGAACAGACACAATGACAGAAGGCAGAAATATTATTGTTCTTATCTTTGTAAAATGGAAAAATCATCAGTATGRTTAACTACAAGTTAACACAATTAATTACCGTTAAACAGAAGTAACTCATGGCTTGTACTTTCCAGGATAGCATAGTAACAATGCTAATTGTTCCATCTTCAAAGAAGTGCTTCCTGTTTTTCATATAATTTTTTCAGTAAGATACTGCTGAAAGAGAAAGCTTTTTTTATTTGATTTTTTTTCTCCACCAATGCAACATAACACTAATTTCAGGAGATCCTTCAAGAATATCCAAATATCCTCATCTCCATTGAAAACATTTTACTTATTATGCAAAACAAAAAGACCATTCAAGGAAAACRAAGAGAGCAAAAATGTGCAGCTCACTTTGCACAGTGAAATCTTTCATTGYCCACAAAAAACCATGGGGTTATTTCTTCTCCAATATCTTAAAAGTTGACTTAATGTTATGAAAGAGTATTTATTCTGATGCAACTTTTATGTTTCCCAGCATATCTTTTAAGTATGTATTCTAAGAAAATTTATAACCCTTGTGTRTATGGCAGAACAAATACATGCATTAGAATTAATTTTGCATCAGATGTACAGCATGTGAATGTTACACACGAGTTTTGGCATCAGATATACATTATCTACACTGCATGGACACTAATAATTTATGAACTGTTGCTAATCGGGTTTGGCAAGTATTGCTGTAATTTTCATTTGCAAATGTTCAACTACTGAAAAACAATCAGTTTTTTCAACTTTYCTCTGGGTAGTTAGAAAAGGTACTGCACAAAAGATATACAGGCATGCCTGAAGTACGAAGTTCTGCCAGTGACTTAGCATACCCTAGACAGCCACATACTTTGGAACATTATTTATAAGATGAGCAGAATTTAGCTTCTTACTACACTTTCAGTTCTTTTATTTTAAAATAATTTTAAATTCATTTCAAATTCTGTATTTGGCCTCAAATCATAACACCTGATAAGCTGAAAAGCATGCATGCAGAAAACAGTAAGAAGCCTAAGCATCACAGAAGTGATAATTGTAATTTAGAAAAAACAAAGATCAAGATTTTGACAGCTTAAATGACTTTTTCATGCAAGATACTTTGCTTTTTTCCCTCCCACAGAAGTTTTAGAAGAAGTARATAAGAATAAAACTGGGCAATACAAAGTGGAAAATCTCTGAACTAAAGATTGCCCAGAGAGGTTGTGGAGTCTCCCTCACTGGAGATATCCAAGAACCATCTGGATGCAATCCTGTGCCATGTGTTCTAGGACCACCTTGCTTGAGCAGAGAGGCTGGGCCACAGAACCATCTGTGGTCCCTTCCAATCTGACCCACTCTGTGATTCTCTAAATTGTACAGACAGTAAACAGCATAAAATAAAATGATTTTTTTATGTAACACATGACAAGCTGATACAGCAATTTACTTACTCAGTAAATTGACAACTCTATTCTGAATGGATGATCTCTTCATTTCAGAACYCAACAGCAAGGGTAAAACATTGAAAACATCTTAAGAAGGAACTCCACTTCTATTACCTTTGAAATTTTTTATACGTTGTCTTAAGACATTTATTACTGTGAAGCACATTGTATAATTTATTTTAATTCTCTACAGAACAATATAGTTAATTCAATATCRTCAATAACTTTATACAGATACAGTATTGAAGCCATGTCCTCTTTTGCTTACTGTCAAGTACAAAACAGCTTATACAGTCTAAAAAAAAGCTACAAACCACACTTGTAGCATAATGTATGATGTGCCTGGTTAAAGTTTACAGTAGTGGCTTTTGGATCTTTCAAGAAAATAAACATGACACCACATGATAACAAACAGCTGTGCAAACTCAGACTTAGGAGGAAGACTTAACTACCTCCTTTTTCCAGAACTACTTTTCCCTGCTTTACTGCTGCTACCACCAGACTTGCTAGAAGATTTTGAAGAGAAAAGTCTTGTCATGAATTCAGATACATCTGGCAGCTCATGGTTGGAATTCAGCATGTTCATTGACTGCTCCATTTCCTGCATGCAAAGATCAGATAATATTAATAGCTTGTAACAATTCTGGCYGTATCTAAGGCATCTGTTAAAAGATTGTATGAAAAAGACACCAAATTTTCCCAAACACTGTTTTACTTTCTGTAGTCCTCCGGGTATGCATTGCTACATAGTTTTATGCACCACAGCCAAAGATCCAGCTACACACAGAAACATGAAACCCCAAAACTAAGAGCAGTGGTGTATGGAAAATGGTAAACATGTCTTAAGCAATCTTATAGAGCAACCATCTGATAAAGAAAAATCTAAAAGAAATAAATTATTTATTTTCAGCACTACTTTTCTCCATATTAAAACCTGGGCTATTGTTTAGATATTCAGATCTGAGCTCTCATACATGTCACACGTTTCTGTTTTCAAACAGTTTCACATTTCYCATAGCAAATTAACAAATTTTTGATGCTGTTTGAAGGSATTAGATGCTTTGATTGCCCTACTTTCTGACATCAAGCTCCTAGAGTACTGCAGCTGAGTTTTCATTCCTTCAGGAAAGAATGGATTTGAATAGAAAACTGTATATCCAGATAAGCTTATTGTAAATTTGGAGTTTAGCACAGCAGTTCTATGAGATGAATTAGCACATTTTAAAATAAGCCAACCTTGAATTACTTTTAATGCATACAACAGTTGAACTGCACATCCACAATGGGATAATGCTTAGAGCAATWTTGACTTTATTGTGGGATTGTCACCTTGTTCTTCTCCCATTCAGGACGACAGAGCTTTAAGAGCTTTCAAGGCACTTGAAAAGTCAAGCCTTTGCCACAATTTAATCTACACTATATATACACACATCATAGATATATATCATCTACACTGTATATATACCAGTACATATATATTGCATCTACATGTACTTAACGTCTCTACAACAAACACAGTTACTAAATCATTAACTTTCTAATCAAATTACTGTGCTGATTTCATCAAAAAATAAACAAGTTAATTTGGCTAGTACTGTGCTGATTCCATAAAAAATAAACAAGTTAATTTGAAAAATGTGACACAGGCTCCATATACTCCACTTTAATATATGGTCATCTAGAGAATGTCATTACAATTTAGTTCTTAAAAACAATCTTTTCTTTAAAGACAATTTTCCTGTCTTTAAAGACAAGTTAAATTAAAAGCAAAATTCCTTCAACTTAAAAATGTCTTAACAAGTCATATCAGTTATCTCATCAGAATTAAATCATCAGCTGTTCTGATRAATTTACCATCAGAAGAGCCTGTCTACAAGCAGTGTCAGATCACTGAAAAAAGAAACATGTGATTAATTTTTTTAAAAATTCAATTTCCAGAGTTCAGCTTGGTTTGAAGAACTAGTGTGACATCTGGATTTAAGAGTGGAATAAACTGTGGTTTAGACTGAAAGGAAAGAGAACCCCTCATCATACCCTTCGCAACACACTTGACATTTATTAAATGATGTCTCAAAATGAAATGGTAGATTTACACATAGTACAGAAACACTGGAAATGTATAGAAAAATCAGCCTCTAAAATGTTATATTTATCAATCTAAAGCAACTCTGGAAAAAACACCATTAATACTGTAACACTTCAGAGTTGTGGCAAACAAATTCTGTGTTGTGATGTTTAATAGCAAATTCATGAGTAGGAAATGCAAGAATTCATTGTTGAAACAGCAACACTGTATTAGCTGAATAAATGATGACTAAGCCCTCTTTTTAAAGTACAGTTTTGTTTTTATTACTCTTCTGTGCTTTGAAATCTCCTTATCTTTGGTCTGTATATATCCATCAACTGAACGTACTTACCCGCCTCATATCAGGATCACTGGTGTTGACAACTTTAGGCAAAAGCACAAATATCAGTAATGGAAGAACCATCATCATCACCTACAGAGAAAACAGGAAATACCTCTTCAGCCTACTTGTTGCGCTAAACATTTTAGACATACTAAAATAAAATAAAGCTCTACTAAACAGCCAAATTTTGGAACTACTGCATTCCCAGTTACTAAGCCAGTAACACTAATCCACTTACCAGGAAAGAAACCTGAAAAGGGAGTACTGTGCTTTAAATAACAGATTTCAAAGTTGGACCAATAAAGCAAATGGTTGCTCTCTCTTGGACCTTTTACAATTACAATTTTGCAACATGTTGATCTCTGCACTACTAGAACAGCATCATGTTGTCAAACAAAGAGACTATGGGCCATTTTCAGAGGAGGTACATTAACAGTGGTATATAGGGGAGGAAAGGTCATAGAAAAGCCTTCCATTTGTAAGCAAGCAAAAACAAAGATGAGAAGAGCAAAGGAAAAATGCAYACTTTCCCCCAAGTGTTTTATTCTTACTATTCTGACAAATAGCTGTATTTGGATCCTTGGCATACTTTTAGCATTTGTATGTTGCCTGTACGTACCATAGGGTTCATGAGGAAATCTGTCCATCCCCAAGATTCTCTCTTTATAAAGTATGAAGGTGGTCCAGAAGATTTCATCTGGAGTGGGTATGGCAGCCTGACAACTTCAGAGGGTTTGATGTAATTCACRTACCTTGCTCTATTGAGAAAAATGTAAATAAAATAGAAAATAGAAAATATAAACATAGAACCTTTAGCAAATAATAAAGATGATTWAAAAATGCAAACAAGACTTAATAGAAGACTACAGACAAAACCATCTGCTATGCAGTTTCAGCTAGGCATCACTTTTAAAAGCCAATTTCTATCAGTAGCATGTTTTATGAAATCAAAACCATTTTTGTCAACTTTGTAATGAGTAAGAAAAACTATGCTGTTTAGGATCCAGCTTTGAACAGTGCAGTGCAGTTAAACCAGTTTGCTCAGGACATCATACTTGTACGTGAAGATAATACTTTTTCCATAAGTGCATTACTTTGCATTTATGAATACTGAAGCTCAGTCTTTATTACTTTATAAGGTTTTTCCATAGTTCTTCATTAGTATTCTTCATCTGGGCATCATATTTGGATAATTATTCAGTACTATAATCTTTGTCACTCYTGACCCATTTTTCATGATTTATGAGTATTTACCTACTTTGTACAGCTCCAGGGATGACTTCTACCCCAAATAACTCATTCCTTCTGAATTTTTCACCAAATACTCATCCACAGAATGTCTTTCCCTCCTACCCTAAGACTTAGGCATTTTCTTCAAAACTTGAGATTTTCAAGTAGATCTTAACAAATATATCAGTTATTCCCATGCTGTTTCCTCTTCCTAGGAATTACTGGGTTTTTTTTTATGGCAGAACATCCTTAGAAAAGCCCTGTTGGCATCTTCCCAAAGTATCATCATTTYTCATGCCTCTCTGATTCCTCAACAGTATTCCCCACTATAGTTTCTATCTACTGGACTGGTAGAGATGCCAAGCCTCCTGCTACTTTCCTCTGCAGATGTATCCTAGCAATTTACTCAGCATCAAATTYGTTACTTTAATAGTCCTTAGATGCATAAACAGTGCTAAGGGTGAGGTTATATACACCATATTTTGTCTCTATCTTTCTATTCATTACATATTAATTACAGCCAATAAGATACTAAAAAAATGCAAAAACAAAAGTTACACAGATTTTGAAAAAAACCTTAGCTCAAACAAATTGTGCCATTATTATAAACAGACTGCACTGTTTTCAGTGATACTTCGATTTTTAACCTCCCCTAAATATACTGAAGGAGGGTTTTCACTGAAGTTTGTATTCGTAAAACTTAAGACTATAAGTGTGCTTGAGCAAAGAAAAATTAACTACAAGCATATTAATTTGAATGAAAAGCACCTTAATAGAYAGATGTTTCTGTATTACTGAATAGTTTGCAGTTACAGGTAGACAGTCAAGAGTGGTTTGGCCATAACATAAAAACAAGCTAACAATGCTACTGAAATAATACAAACTGGCAACTGCTAGTATTAACCAAAAACTGTAACAAGTGTCCTATGGGGTGCAACAGAAATATTYAAAAATTTTTTGATGCCAAGTCCTGGCAGAATATTTATTAAAGAAATGGGAAAGGGAAGAAGGAAAAAAAAAAAGTGTGACAAATAATAAAGCAATTAACTGATTTATCCCTAGATATTATTTCAGGGTAGCTGCGTAAGAAAATAATCAAAGTAAAYGAATACATGGCCTTTCAAAAAACTAGATACTCTTATTTCAGGCCATAAATATGAAAGGAAGAAAGATACCAGACTCTAGAATTTGAGAAACATGYTTCTAGAATTGATGTAAAAAGAAGTTGACACATAGCGTTTGAGATGGAACATCAGACCTACAGCACTGTTTTCTTGTACTGTGCAGTCAGGCATATGTAATTCATCAACACAGAGGCAAATCAGAAAAAGGCTCACCTCATTTTGCCTTTTGAAGTTATGTCAACTCGCACAGGCTCAAATTTATGAGCGGGGGATATAACTTCCACTACGTAAGATCCTGAAGGTACATCATGAACCACAAAACTTCCATCTGTCCTGAAAAAAACAGTGAGTTCCACATTTCAGTGCACTCCAGAATAYAAGACAAGGCACTCTGGTTTTSGTTGGSTTTTTTTTTAAGAAATTGTATCATTTTATGTTATAAATCTTAATATAACCACAATGACCAAAAGGAACGTTCAAGTCACTCAGCACTCACAATATCAAGCCYCTTAAGTCCATCAATGCATACCACAACATTATCAGAAATTCCCCGTAAGGTTAAAAATTTTGTTTTGCCCTCAAGTTGTTATCTTGCTAGAGGAATAATTTAACAGCTCAAATAAGATCTGAAGTAAGTTATATTTCATGTATTCCAGTGATGGCAGAAGTAACTTACACCTTCCTTCCTCCTTCTGAAATACATACAACAAAGTTTATTTGCCTCAGTACTTCTGCTGAGAGCAAAAGACCCCCAAACTGGCACCCTACGTAGTGTGGGTTGGTATTAGGGACAATTTGAAATGCACAAAAATAGCAATTTGTGCCTTTGTTGCGAAATAGTGTTTTTTTCTTCTAATTGCTCCCTTTAGGAYCAGCCCACGCTGGAAAGCTCAATTACAGCAATAAGGAAATGAAAAGCTCAGATCATATACACAGAAGGGATTTTCACACAGGTGGCTTTTATTTTAAAGCATGAAGCTTGACTATTTGATGACAGTATTAGTAAAAGGTTACCTGAAAGCTTTAGCACTAATTGCCTTAAAGGTACAGAAGTTTTCCTCCTATGTATTTCCAGAAGTTTCCAGTAAGAAAACCCTAAGGTTCTCTACCCTGTTAAAGGCAATATCAAARACCTCCTTCCTAAAAGTAAGGCTCAAGACAAAAATCTGTGCAAAGGGATAAAACATAACAAACCCYGACACATTAGAAACATACATCAGAAAAATAAGTAAGTGACTCTCTTAAAAGTGAACTCYTTTCAAAGAGTTTGTGATTACGTCCTTTACACTTCTAACATGCCMAACACTTTAGGACCTTCCCACCTTTATGTCAGGATTTGAACCCATAAGAATGCTGGGTTGCATTCTTATATATATATATTGCAACTGCTGTAAAGATTTTTCTCGGGAATTTCCTTTAAATTTTTCATTCTTTGCAATATTTGAGAAATTTAGAGTTTCACTTAACCACTTAGAAATTTKCCAACCTGATAGCAGTTATTATGAGCTCCCAAATAAGGTGTCAGGCTCCCACAACTTGTTTGTAGTGGCTTAGCAGGTGCTACACKGTCAAGATTCTACAAGATCTATCTATGATAGAAACCGTTGTGTCAATCTATTAATAGAGCCCAAAGTTGAAGTTAAGTTTAACTTTTATTGCAGGGAGATTAATTTAAAATTATGAACCTTTACAAGAGGCTATATCTTAATTCCATCTAACATCAGTTTTATATGTAATTTTAAACGGTATGTATTATACTGTATTGAAAATCATGAAGAGGATTTTGGAATTAACTTCCAGTCCTGAAATTATGACATCAGTTTAGTTCTTAATTCTGAGGACATAAGTCTTAGACTCTAGTTCCTTCGCCTATCTGAATAAACCCAGTACSACCTGAAACTGATGATGATTCACCTGAACTGAAAGAGGATGATTCTTTACAGCTTCCAGCTGTATTTGCATGATGTCGTGTGGAGCAATTAAGTCATGTCCCTTAAACTGGCTTTCACCAGTACAGTTTAAAGTTTTTCACAAACACTCTTAACACAGAGGGACAACTGTAACTTCTGCCACGAACTTTCTCCAGATCGGGTAAACTCTGAGCCAAGGTGAGATTCTTAAGAAGTGGCAGGATTTACAACAGAAGCTGAGAATAAACACAGTCCTGCAAACAGTGCAAACGCGTTTGGGGTTTTTGTTAGCTTTGGCTGTTTGTTTTTTTAAAAATTAAAACTCAATTCCGAAGTTTTTGGCCAGCAACCTGAGCCACCAGTTTAGATACAACTGCTGGAGGCTGAGGCCAAAGCCGACCGCACTGCCCGGTGGCCGTGTCCAGTCCCTTACGAGGAGGCCAGCACCGCCAGCAGCTCAACTCGGGATCCCGCGATCCCACAGCCATGCGCGGTTACCGGGACACGGCCGAGGAGCCGCCATCTCAGGGCCAGGCCCGGCCTGCGAGCGGGCCCCGCCGCCTCCCGCCCAGAAGGGCCGCCCGCCGCCCCGCGGCCTCGCACCCCC